GCGGTCCCTGTGCTTTGCTAAGCTTATTCTGAGTAGGTGCTTTAGACCACTGAGCCATCTCACCAGCCCTTGCTGTTCTTATTTGGAGTATCTTTCCTCAAGTAGTGGGGAGGTACTTCCTCAGTTGTTCGTGTGGTTGTATCACTCACTTTTTTCACAATTTCCCAAGTGGCTATTATTGAAAGCTTTTAAGTGTGATGAACTGTTTCACTGATGAAAGGAGTGACTAATCATGGTCTGTTGTTACTATGATGTTCTTAAAAGTGTTAAAACTTAAGTAGGCTTTGCTGGGGCAAACCCTGCCGTTTGTGTAATAGCAATCTATCTTTCTCTCTCTCTCCCCCTCCCTCCCAGCCTCCTTTTCTCCCTCCCTCCCTCCCTCCCTCCTTCCCTCCCTTCCTTCCTTTTTTGGGGGGGAATGGTCTATAAGGTGTTCAGTATCTCACTACTAGATTAGACTTGTAGTGATTCATCTGCTTACAGGCTCCCAAGAGCTGGGATTACAGGTGCACACTGTCACACCCAGTTTCAATTGCCATCTCATCGTGCCCCAGGGGTGGGGCCGGCACAGCAGTCCTGGGGATTGAACCCCTGGCCCCACCCGCTTGCAGGTGCTTTATTTTATTTTTTAAATTTTTTTCCCATAATTTTATTGATTTTGGTGGAACCAGGGATTGAACTCAGACCCTTGAGCTTGCCAGGCACGCATTTATTCTACTGAGCCATATACCCGGCCCTCCCATAATTTTATTGAGAAACAAATAGCAATGAGACAGTTTCAAATCAAATTGGTAGGACAATTTCAATAACTAACACATTACATACTCTCTTCCTAGTGGCTATTTGCTGTACAAGATGCAGACATGATATCCTATTTACAAACACTATTAGAACAAATCCCTCTATTAAGAGAATGTAACTATCTATCCTAACCATTTTGAATGCACAGATACAAAATGGACATTCATCTGTATATCCTTTTTTTGTTTAGCTCCGTTATTTGAATATTATAGGTGTGTTAATTCAAGAAAATATTCTAAAAGAGTCCAGTAGTCCATAATAGTATTGGGTCTTCTGCTTCACTGGCAATGTCAGAAATTGTTGACCTGAGACACCTACAGCTCAACATAACAGCATGACTTTACTTCTTATACTTCATTTTTATACTTTTCTGCTGGATGGTTAAGACCAAGGTAAAGCAGGACCTATGCAACAGGAGTTGTAGCTTTTGGGTCTGATAAGTTCAGTGAAATTCCCTCAGGATTTATCCTGAAATCCTGTACCTCAGATTGTATATCCTTCGTCAGTGTCAGCCATGTGGATGAGTCATGGCCATTGCTTGGCCAATGTGCTCTCTGTGAAAGCCTGAGAGAATGTTTTCTCTCCATGTGA